CGCAGCCGTGTCCGGCTTCGAAATTTTTGCCAACGTTGGTTCGCCACCGGGTTGCACCCCCGCGTCATCTGCCGCTTCACGCCTTCATCGCGTGGCTTGGCGGCCCGCTGCTTCTTAGCAGGGAGCTTCGGCGCGACGTCAACCGGCCGAGGTGGGGCAAATCTGGGAGGCCACATGGAGACGGAGGCCAAATTAGGGACCGTGGTCACGCCGACGAGGGCTGCAGTGAGGTGGGTCAGACCAGCGACGGGTTTATCGGCGTCGGCCACTATGACTAGCCTGGTACGAAGGGAGTAGCTTTAATAAAATGGGAACTGAATTAATTGCAAAGGATTGCACCAGACTTGCTACACATCATCACATCCCGGTCTATCCTGCCCGCTGCCCATGACACGTCCCACCTCCCCACACCATCGGTCTCCCACCATTTCTTTGTGACAACTATCGTGGGTCTACTTGTGATCGTGCAATGCATGAGACAGTAAACCAGCTAGCGACTCAGTGTCTCAGCTACTGTATGTGACTGTGACCGGACGGTGCAAAGGCATGTGCGCGCTTGGCAATACTTCAATTTACAAGTAATTTCAAGAGTAGAACAGCCTTGATTTGTTGTTCAGGGATGTCATTTTAATTGCTTTTTGTTGCCAAACTCGCAATTGATATTCACACGAAAGTATTCATAAATATTGACATAAAATATGTTGCATCACATACACGTAGACACACATATCACATTCTCATTCAGCGCATGAGTCCACTGCATCTTATAAAACATTCATACATGTTCAATAATTCAAAGCCAACAAATACAACAAAGTTTTGCATAGTTCGCAACAAACAAATCAAAACGAGTAGGGAGAGGGAGGATATATGTGAGGATTGGACGAATGAAGAAGAAAAACGAAAATCTTACATTCTTTTTATGTAAAATATCAATTAGATAAGCCCATGCTTTGCAACCCGGGGATACATATTCTGATAGATTAGCCCATTATTAATGCGATTGGGTAAAATAATGTGATTTTATTTGGTAAACACTCATTTAGTAAGTATTTATTAGCTTACCAGAATAAACATAATTTTATTTGTTAAGTCACTAAAGATGGGATATTTAATGCGCTTTTAAAGAAAATCTGGTGGAAAAAAATCAGAGATGAGAGAACATGTAAAAACGAGGATGCCAGACTAAGAAGGGGTGAATATATAACTCCTCGGAGCATCTCCAGCCGCGCCCCCTCCCTCCCCGGTGACTTTTTCCGCGCTGGCACCGAAAAAACATCCCAGTCGCGCCCCCTAGGACGCCGAAATCCGCCGGCCGTTTTTTGGCCCGGCGATCGCAGGCCGAACCCGGCGCACTGGGGGGCGCTCGGGGGCTCCGGTGCAAGGGAAAAGCACGCGTGACCCACACCGTCAGACGACGCCTAGCTTGACGTGTGATGAAATATGAGTTTTTATTCGTTGAACTACATAATTGTAATATTTGTTGTTGCATTATTTTGTTGAACTATTTGATTTTCTGTGATGAATGATGTGATAAAAAAATATTTATGTTAAGAATTCAACGCCGAACCACGCTGAATATGGGCCGATTCTCGCCGATATGGGCCATTTTTCGTTGAAAGTGGGCCGAAAAACGGCTAGGAATGGGCCGATATCGACGCCTGGGGGAGACGGCGGGATGCCCAACCGCCCCCAGAGCCGATTCTACCGCCAGCTCGTCCCCGGACGACGTTTTTTATGCCTCCTGGAGAGGCCAACAGCTGGAGATGCTGACTAAGAAGAGAAAAATATTGTTTTAGCCCCTCAAGTTTATAAGTAGACGTTTGGTCTCTTCATCTATTTCCGGTCGACATTTGGTTCCTCAGGTTTCGAAACCAGCCATTTCTCGTACGGTCTTATAAGCATTTTGTCGAATAGTTGTCGTGTAGTTTCTGGGCTAGGAGGAGATATGCTCTGCAGCCTCGCACTCCCGTCGCTAGAGACGAGGGCCTGCCGGACCTCCTCCTGCCGTAGCCCCTACTCCAGGGCCTCGATCTCGACGTCCAGGACGTCGTGGACATGGCCACCGCCTTGATGTCCGGGCTCCAGCAGCAGCTCGCAGGACCGTTGCGCAAGCTTGTCGGCCTCAAGTTCGAGGTCGCAAGGATGAGGCACAACAGGAAGAGGCTGAGGAGGCTTCGAGCGCAAGCGATGGTGAGGTGTGCCTGCGGCCGGATGCGCCCAGCCGCACGTGGTGTGCTTCTTGTTGGCGTCGGGTGGCGAGGCGGCGTCGGCCATGGTCGACGGCGTGGTTGTTCCCGGGCGGGAGGTGGCGCACACTGTGAGGAAGAAGGGAGGCTGTGTAGGGAACCCTCCACGCGACCATCACCTGGCAGTGGCTTGGGTCGAAGACATCGCGCATGAGAGAGATGTGTGGATCATCATGTGCCAGGTGGCACTTATGTGCTGAGGTCAAAGGTCAATGCCGGTCAACATCAGCATGAAACCACCATTTGGACGAATCATACCCAGTTTGGAAACATGACAGATGAAATGTCCACAAAAGAAGATAAGAGGGCAAATATATACTTTGCATAAACATGAAGGACCAAAACATACTTTCCTAATTTATGTAAATCAGTTAAATATATAATTGGGAACTAGTACACAAATAGTGGAAAGGAGAAGAGAAATAGAGAAGCTGGTAAGAGAAGATCGACGGGAGGGTCAAACTGTAGCATTGTTAAAGCAGCTCCAACACGTTGACCCAAACGGACGCATATTTTATTCTTTTTTGTCCTTTTGGGTCGGCGTGTCCTCTCGTCATCTGCTCCGCTTCGTGTTTGGGTCAGTAGTGCACCCAACAAGCGGACGCATTTTCGTCCTCATGGCTGCTTTGCGGCTATTTTTGACCTCTTTTGGCCCAAGTTCACATAGTTCAAACAAAATACAAATATCTGATAGTTTCACAACCAAATAAATATCTCATAGTTTATAAGCCAAATAAAATTTAAATTGTCTCAAATACATTTGAAAGAAAAAATAGGCATTACATCAACTGGTTGACAACGTGAGCCCACATATACTCAACCAAATCATCTTGCAGATGAATGTGAGTTTCTCAATCACGCATTTGATGATGAAATTTGATGAACTGTGCAAACGTTGCCGCTCCTCCATGCTGAGGCACATTGTCACCCTGAATTGAAACCCTTGGTCATAGATTTCATCCGGACGCTCATCATGTACGCTCATGTTGTGCATGATCACACAAAGAGTCATTACCTCCCATAACTTCTTGGTGCTCCAAGTTCTAGTAGGATACCAAACGATGCCCATCGAGATTGAAGCACAGCAAAGGCACGCTCCACATCCTTCCTTGCACCCTCTTGTGCTTGGGAAAATCTCTTCCTCTTCTCTCATGCAAGGTTAGGGATTGTTTTCACAAGAGTAGTCCACCGAGGATAGATACCGTCAGCTAGGTAGTATCCTTTTGTTGTAGTGGTGGCCATTGATATCAACATTGACTTCTAGGCAGTTGCCTTCTGCAAGTCTTGCAAACACCAGAGAGCGCCGAAGCATGTTGATGTCGTTGTAAGATCCGGCCATGCCAAAGAAAGAGTGCCAAATCCAGAGATCCTGTGAAGCCTCGGCCTCAAATGCATGCTTTCACATGGCCCCTATACTTCCCCTGCCAAGCAGAAGGGTAGTTCTTCCACTCCCAGTGCATACAATCTATGATACCAAGCATCCCTGAAAAGCCCCTACTCGCATTGGTCGCCAACAATCGGACTGTATCTACAGTAGTTGGCTCTCTCAAGTACTCCGGGCCAAACACTACCACAATCTTGTAGAACTTGTGCATGGAGTCTAGGCACGTGGACTCACTCATTCATACATACTCATCAATGAGATCACCGGGTACTCCGTATGCAAGCATCGCTACAACGCATTTCTGAAAAGAGGAGAAGCCAATCTTTCCCATGGCATCCCCCTTGCACTCGAAATAGTTATCGTACGCCACCACCCCCTCCCGGATACGGTTGAACACATTTCTAGCCATCAGGAAACGACACTAGAATATGTGGGGTTGGAAGAGCGATTTAGGGGACTGGAAGTAGTCCTGTCAAAGTAGGCAATGGCCACTCTTTCTGTTGCGATTCAACGCCGGAGTATGACCCGGGATCGAGCCCCAAACATCGGCCGCTTCCTACTAATATGGTCATGGACGACCAAAGCAGCAACCACAATCTCCTCATCATCGGATGAAGAATCATCCGAATCGCAAATGAAATTGTGGAAAAAATACTCGTCGTCGGTATCCATTTGTACCTTGCGGGCAAACCGTCGAACGCCTTGCAGGTGTGGTGGAAGAAACCGGCCGGTGAAGAGTCTTGCGCCTCTCCGAGACCAGATAGCAGGTCTATCGGCATGGAGGCGAACGTGACATCGTCTGAGAGCGAGGTAGTCGCACTTGTGTGCTGCCGGCAGGGGAGGCTAGAGGTGGTGGCGTAGACGTCGGGGTATTGCGACGTCGGCGAAAATGGTTCACCAAACACCGGAGTATGGGGCCGTTGGGGGGTGGCGTGCTGCTGGGGGAGGTATGTTGGTGCAGGCGGCCAGCCTGGGCAACGATACTGGGTGGCGGCGGCGACGGGTGGGACGGCAAGGTGAGCTGGTTGTCGATGGGAGGAAGGGGGAATGGCCAGTGTGCCACCGACTGGCAGGCCAGGGGGAGGCAACGGCGGGCGTTGCGCGCATCCGCTGTGTGTCTGTGCCGGCGCAAACCCGGCCCAAATTTAGGCCTGAAATGTTGCCCGGACAAAAAATGGACGTTGGTCCATTTGTGTCATGCGTGGCTGGCTTAAAGATATTTAGGCCTTTTCCTTCGAGATTGTAATGTGACACTTACTTAATCAATACAATCCCCTTTACTCCAAAAAAAAGTGCATAAGTGTACGAAATTAGTCTGAGGTTAATTGACAGAAACCACACCAATATGTTATTTGTGTCTGGTGCAGGTCCCACTATTTGTGGACACGAAGATGATGGCGAAGATGATGACGTGGGGAGGCCTCATGTCACAGTTGATCACGCCGACACCAGACTCGTACGCCCATGCGGCGGCACGCTGGATCGGGCATGGTCTCCCTGTCTGCATTCCCAACCCGGGCCATAGGCTGCAGATGTGCTTGTACCAACTATTGCCCGACAGCATCCGTGTTGGGGCTTGCCTCCACGAGTCCCTCCATCAGCGGGCCCTGAATCTGACCAAGGGCACCGTCGCACAGCGTTAAGGGTGGCCTGCCCCCCTAACGAATAATCTATCATGATATTACAAGAGTTGTATGAATTTATAGCAAGGATTTATGTGTGTGATCTGTATCTCTGAACCACAAGTTCTCTTAAATCGCAGTTCCTATGCACGGCTAATGCATATTGTATCTTGCCCGATGTGTACCTTAAAGGACTTTTGATATGACGGTACCAAGAGTTTATTTATATGATATGTATCTCTGAAATGTAATTTCAATTGCTGATGATGCATGGCTAGCGTGAATGGTATCTTGCCTAGTGGCCGATGTGTACCTTGAAGGACTTTGGATGTGAATGTAAATTTATGTATACTAGGTGATGCCTCGCGCGTTGCCGCGGGACATTAGTGAGATAGATCGCTTAAGAGAACTGATGGGCACTCTAGACTGACGGCTATCGGTAAGATATGAGAAATGAAGCGAACAAATTGCAACACCGACATGAAAATTTTCATAATTTCCTTGCGCTGCTTCAAGTCTGCATTTTCAGCACACTAAGTTGCAGACAAATATGAAGTAGGAGACGCGCTAATACGCCAGAGTCTACAAACATTGAACATTTAAAGATAAATATTCATCATTGCAAGAATTTGAAAAGTACATGTTGTTAGGCTATCGAGTCTGAAATTTCTGAAAGTGAAGAAGTATAATAAGTCAGAAATATCTTAGTACTGCACTTGAAGATCTATGAATGCACAATGAAACTTAAAGACAAACATGAAAAATAATTTTCCTGTTGGCAACAAATGTGAAATTTGTCGGTACAGGCTGACATAAAGACCAACCTATATGCTAATTTTGTTGAGTAAATAGGCAATTTCTCGATTAAATCAATCCACGAGTAAATCACTAGCATGACATTGACACAAATAAACGCATACTGATATTCAGTCAAGCAAACACATACTATGCTAATTGCAGAAAGATCTATGTATAACGCTAGCATGGCTAAAACAGAAAACGGTAAAAGTGGGATAAACGAGTTATACCCTCCAATGGGCCATGCAGAGGCCGCTGCTTTGGTGGCAGCAGCGGCGTCCTCGGCAGCCTTCTTGTCGGCTTAGCTTTCTCGGCGACGGCACGTTCGACGTCGGTGGACATGGTGATGATGAAGGCGACGCGGACATAGAGGAAGTAGACGATCGAAAGCGAACAGTCACGTAATCGCTGCCCAAAAACATATTCGTCCCTCACCCCGTACAGGAACCAGAAGTGCGTGGTTTCGGAGACCTGCTCTCCCGTCGACCGTGTACGCGACGGACAGGATTGAGTCACCGGCGGCAGCAGCAGCAAGGGAATGACGGCGGGCGTGCGCGTGGAGCAGATGTGATCTGTTCGTGGCGGCTAGGATTAGGAGACACCGCGCACTTATATAGGCGCATCCGCGTGGAGAGACGTGGTCTCGACCAACGTCCGAGTCCGTGACAGCCCATGATCCGACGTCTCAGATCGTGGCCCAGCTGTCAGAGAACTCTCCGTTAGTGACTGGCAAAAATAAGCGTGTAGGTGTGAGCTCGGCTTGGCTCAATCCCGCAACACGCGACGCGTCATGACGAGGCGGGCGGCGGAGGAGGAGTGCGCGAGGTCCTCATATCTTCTCAAGCTCCAATAGCGTGTAGAAGAGAAACCCTTATAAGGAGGTCCAACTCCTCTTCCACTTTCGGGGTGGGACTAAACTTCCCACTCCACCTAGTGCCAATAAACCCACATGGGCCCTTAGAGATTTTTCAGAAATTGCTATATGAGCCTAGAGTCCATCTCAAATTTCAGCAATCCCCCACCAGATCTCTAGGGACCATTGTGTCCTCTGTTCCAATTACTGTTTCGATATACCAGTGTTTCAGTGAAGACCTGTTAAGGTTGAGCTTCACCTAGAGCAAGTAGCTACACTCCTTCACAATTGAACAATGGACTATGCCTTGAATTGTCAGTTTGGCGTAAAGAAGCTTCACCACATGTCTTACTAGTACTGGGCTGCCGAAAGCTGACCCCTCGGGTGGAGCATATAAGTCACACTACTGGCCTATTCATGAGCTTACTAGAGATCACCCCAATCTCATAGACCATGACCAGCAGTCGGGCTCACATAGGTGTGTTTCTCCAAAGATCACTCTGTAGGAAAGCATCTTGCTTACATAAGCTTTGGAACTCATTAAGACAATAGTCATCCTACCATACAGTCTTGAGAGTATTGCGTCTCCAACGGAGTGGGTTAGTATAGTTACTCTCCTTAGTTCACCACTGGCTTGTTTTCCCAGGTCCTACTTCACGGGATCTCCGATCACATAGGTTGGGTTGCCACCATGGCAACTCATGTGGGTCCCATACCCATCTCTCTCGATGCATTATCTATCACAACACGTGATAGCCCTTTCGTAAAGGGATCTGGCAGATTCTTAGCTGTATGGACATAGTCCAACGCTATTACTCCGGAGTTTATTAATTTTCTGACAGCTTTTAATCTCATTCTTATGTGTTTGGTGGACTTCATGTTGTCCTCTGAACTCTTCACCTTGGTGATGACAGTCTGATTGTCACAGTTCATAAGGATAGCCAGAACCGGTTTATCAACCAATGGCAAGTCCATCAAAAGATCTCGAAGCCATCTCGCTTCAACACCATATGTGTCTAATGTCGTTAATTCTTCTTCCATTGTCGATCTCGTTAAGATCGTTTGCTTGCAAGACTTCCAGGAAATAGCGCCACCTCCAAGAGTAAACGTATACCCAGTTGTGGCATTCATCTCATCAGCATCAGAGATCCAATTTGCATCACTATACCCTTCAAGTACCGACGGGTCTCCGGTATAGTGAAGTCCATAGTTCATAGTACCTTTCAGATAGCGCGTAACTCGTTCAACAGCATGCCAGTGCACATCACCCGGTTTGGAAACAGACCGGCTCAGTTTGCTCATAGCAAACGCGATGTCGGGCCTCGTTGCGCTCGCTAGGTACATCAGTGAACCAATGATTTGAGAGTATCTCAACTGATCTATAGCCCGTGCCTTTGGACTTTCGAATCAACACACTAGGATCATATGGTGTTTGAGATGGTGTGCAATCCGAATATCCAAAACAACTCAACACCTTTTCAACATAGTGGGATTGCAGAAGTGTAATCTCACCCTCATTATCTCTCAGTAGCTTGATGTTCAAGATAACATCAGCCACACCAAGGTCTTTCATCTCAAAGTTTTGAGACAGAAACGACTTGACCTCCTCAATGACTTTGAGGTTGGTTCCGAATATCAGTATGTCATCAACATACAAGCACAGTATAACTCCTTCGCCCCCACCATGGCGATATTATACACATTTGTCAGCCTCATTAACAACGAAACCAACAGATGTCAGAGTTGTATTAAACTTATCATGCCATTGCTTAGGTGCTTGCTTCAGGCCATATAAAGATTTCAGAAACCTACACACCTTTCTTTCCTGACCATCTATCACAAAGCCATTTGGCTGTTTCATGTAGATTTCCTCGTTTAGCCCTCCATTCAGAAAAGCCGTCTTAACATCCATCTGGTGGACGAGAAGACCATGCGAGGCTGCCAACGAGAGTAATACTCGAATGGTGGTCAGTCTAGCCACAGGTGAATAAGTGTCGAAGAAATCTTCCTCTTCTTTCTGGCCATAGCCCTTGGCCACAAGCCTAGCCTTGTACTTTTCAATCGTACCATCGGGCCTGAGCTTCTTTTTGAACCCCCACTTACATCCTAATGGTTTGCAATCATAGGGAGCTCAGTGATCTCCCATGTCCCGTTAGCCATGATGGAATCCATCTCGCTACGGACCACACCTTCTAGTAGTCGGCTTCTAGAGAGGCATACGCTTCTGAAATAGAAGTGGGAGTATCATCCACGAGGTACACGAAGGAATCATCACCAAAGGTCTTTGCAGTCCTTTGTCTCTTGCCCCTATGAAGGGTTTCCTTGTCATCCTCCTTAGGATTTTCATCATCTGTTTGTTCATAATAATCCATAGGAATGGCAGGCTCAGGAGTCTCCTCAGATTCCTGTCCAGAAGTTCTTTGCATATCTCTCATAGGAAAAATATCCTCAAAGAATGTAGCATCCTTAGACTTCATAATTATACCGACCTTCTGGTCAGGTACCTCAAATTTCACTACTAGAAATCTATAGCCAATGTTGTTCTTAGTGTAGCCCAAATTAACGCAGTCCACAGTCTTGGGTCTAAGCTTACGCTTTTTGGGGATCGGCACATTGACTTTCACCAAACAGCCCCAAGTACGCAAGTACGAAAGTGTTGTCCTTCTCTTCGCCCATTTCTCATAGGGAGTGATTTCATTATCCTTTGTCGGAACTTTATTCAGGATATGACATGTCGTTAATATAGCCTTCCCCCACCATGCCTAGGATAAACCCGATGTATCTAACATGGTGTTAACCAAATCAGTTAGAGTATGATTTTTCCGCTCGGCAACCCTGTTTGACTGGGGTGAATAGGGAGGCGTCCTCTCATGAATAATGTCGTGTTCCACACAAAAGGAATCAAACTCACTCGAGAAGTACTCTCCACCACGATCTGATCGGACTCGTTTAATTTTCTTTTCAAGTTGATTCTCAACTTCTGCCTTATAGATTTTAAAGTAGTGTAGAGCCTCATCTTTAGTATTTAACAGATACACATAGCAATATCTAGTGGAATCATCTATCAACGTCATGAAGTATTTCTTTCCACCTTTAGTCAACACACCATTCATCTCACAAAGATCAGAATGTATGAGTTCTAATGGTGCCAAGTGTCTCTCCTCCGCGGCCTTGTGAGGCTTGCGAGGTTGCTTAGCTTGCACACATGAAAGGCACTTAGAACCTTTGGTTAAGGTGAAACTCGGGATTAAATCCAACCTGGCTAGCCGCGTCATTACACTGAAACTAATGTGACAAAGACGTGAATGTCAAACTTCAGATTCATTAACATTCGAATGAATATTGTTCACGACTTTATTACAAAAATCTG